GCCATTGCACTCCAGCCTGGGTGACAGAGCGAGACTCCGTCTCAAGAAAAAAATAAAAATAAATAAAAAAAAAGAATATATTGGGGGAAGAATAGAGGGGAGGCGTGCAGGAACCAGCAATGAGAAGGCCAGGAAAAGAAAGAGCTGAAAATGGAGAAAGCCAAAGAGTTAGAACTGTTGGATACAGGAGAAGAAACAGCAGCCCCGCTACAGACCCACCCCCAGGTTTGACGTCCTTTCAAGAATGAAGTCTATCCCTGGTGATGGTCACTCTGTCTTTCCAGCATCCTCTCTCCCTTGTCCTTCAGGGCGTGTATCTCAGTCAGCCAGTGGCTTCTTGATGATGGTTGTTGGGGTGGTTGTTGTGTGACGGTCCCTTCTAGGTTATAAAGGGTGTATGTCCCCTGTTTGAACTCTGAAGGGCAGGTGGTGGGCCATGGCCATGGTCCCCAGCTGAGGAGCAAGTGTCCCTGAGAACTCAAACTTCCCAGAGAGTATCTGAGAACCAATCAATGAAAACAGTCCCATCACTCTTACCCGATAAGTGAACAGTCAGAAAATTAGTGTGAAAGCAGCTTAGCATTGGGAGGAAGCGCAGATCTCTAGAGCTGTCCTGCCGCCGCCCAGGAGTGACCTGTGTGTGAGTCCTAATAAACTCACCCACTCACCAAGCTGGACTTGTTCGAGTCAATTCTTTGGTCTCGCAGCTCCTTCCAAGCTTTGGGGGCCATCAGTCTCAAGTTTTTCTCGTAACACTGGTGAGGGTGGTTGTGATGGCAGCAGAGTCGTGGGGGCCTTGGCAAGTAGCCAGTGATCTTCCAGACCAGGGGACACTGATGGACCGATGAAGTTCCAGGGAAACTCGAAATGCTGTGTTGGAAAGAGGTTAATTGGGGAAGAAACAAAAAAACGAAAGGAGATGCCAGAAACAGGTCAAGGAACGTTGAGGTGTGTCCAGGAGTTCAGTCCCACTTGTGGTCCCCAGACCTCGCCTCTCTGAGTCTCAGTTTCCTCATCAGCTATAGAAGGGGGCTGGACAAGGTGATATCTCAGGTCCACCCGGCTCTCCCTGTCTTGTATTCTGGAGACTTGGGTGCAATCAACACTGATGGCTGTGCCTTTGTGGTGCTGATGGAGGCTCCCCTGGGCTCTGACCCCCTCAGTAACTGGGACCATCCTTGTGTGCCACATTGCCCAGGCTGGTCTCAAACTCCTCAGCTCGAGTGATCTGTTCACCTTGGCCTTCCAATGGGCTGCAATTACAGGCATGAGCCACCATGCCCACCTAAGAACATAGATTTGATCGAGCACCTGCTTCCAACCCTCCAATGGCTTCCCATTACTCTTAGCACAAAGATGTAGGTCATCATGCTGCCTAAAGTAGCCTGTTGTAGCCTGGGGTCCTGTGAAGGAAGAGCCAGAGGCAACGTTCTGGTGCAGAGGGTTTGTGTGGGAAGTGATTCTAGGAGCAGAACTGAGGATCCAGGAGGGAAGGAGGAAAAGTTGACACAAGGAGAGGTTTTTGAATGGGCCATGTATGTGGGCAATGAGACCTTCTGAGGTGCCTTCAAGAAGCGTCCTCAGAATCTTTGTCTCCAGGGAGGAGAGAGGGAGGCCTTTATGTGTCCCAGAGGTTCTGGCACATTGTCTCTTTGTTCTCATTGGTTTCAAAGAACCTCTTGATTTCTGCCTTAATTTTGTTATTTACCCAGTAATCATTCAGGAGCAGGTTGTTCAGTTTCCATGTAGTTGTGCGGTTTTTAGTGAGTTTCTTAATCCTGAGTTCTAATTTGATTGCACTGTGGTCTGAGAGACTGTTTGTTATGATTTCCATTCTTCTGCATTTGCTGAGGAATGTTTTACTTCCAATTATGTGGTCGACCTTAGAATAAGTGTTATACAGTGCTGAGAAGAACGTATATTCTGTTGATTTGGGGTGGAGAGTTCTATAGATGTCTATTAGGTCCACTTGGTCCAGAGCTGAGTTCAAGTCCTGAATATCCTTGTTAATTTTCTGTCTCCTTGATCTGTCTAATATTGGCAGTGGGGTGTTAAAGTCTCCCACTGTTATTGTGTGGGAGTCTAAGTCTCTTTGTAGGTCTCTAAGAACTTGTTTTATGAATCTGGGTGCTCCCTTATTGGGCACATAAATATTTAGGATAGTTAGCTCTTCTTGTTGCATTGATCTTTGTTGGTTTAAAAGATATTTTTTGATCTTTGTTGGTTTAAAGTCTGTTTTATCAGAGACTAGGATT